GGGTTTAAGTGGAGAGAAAATGTTTTGAGAAACGATGTACAAATGCGCTTTACACAATTGATGTGTGTGTGGATTGGGATAACAGTTGTATGAGCCCCTAATAAAATGTTAAAAAAACAAAACAAAGACAGATGCACCTGGTGTGGGGTAGACTAGAAGAGTAAGTATGTAGATAGGGTTTTCGAAACCCAGGCTAATTGCCTTTCCTACAGTCAAACGTGTCGACCTGACGTCATGAAGGCTCAGTCCCGAGAGGGAGATCATGCTCAGGGAAGCAGAAGGTCAGGCAAAAGGAGGAAGACCCTCAACAAGAAGGACTGACGCGGGGATCGCCACAGTGAGCTTAAACACATCAACAGCGAGGGGAAGGCACGGGACCGGCCGATGAGTCCTTCTGTGGCACATCTAGGCTTACGATGAGTCAGAACCGACTGTGTGGCCCCTAACAAAACAAGCAACGACAACAGCAAAACCTACAAAGCTTTCAAGAACTTCAAAACCAATATTAAACGAATTGCTAAAGTAATTCCGAGTGTCCTTACCTCACCGAGAGACTTCCGTGTCTCAATCATCCTTACAATTTCAGGATCTGGTGGAGTTCCTGGGAACCACGTATTTCCTTCCCCATAGCCAGTCCAATAGGGTCTCTGTAAAGGAAGCACATGCATGCAAACATACATCCTGTCGTTGTCCAATCATGGGAAAATGGAAGTTGTCAAAAATGAAATGGAATGCACCATGATCGATACCCTAGGGATTCATGAGCTGAAATTGACTGGTATTGGCCACTGTGAGTTAGATAACCCTATGGTTTACTATTCCAGGAATGACCAATTCAAGAGGAATAGCATCAAATTCATTGTCAAAATGATTTGTCATGATCTACTCCAATACAATGTATGTGATACTGTGCTACTATCTATGCCCCTACAAGGAAGACCAGTTCATCCAACTGTGCTTCAAATTTATGTACCGACTACTAAAGCCAGTGATGGAGACATTGAAGAAGTCTACCAGCTGCTGCAGCTTGAAAATGAACCACCACACCATCGATACGTACTGATAATCACTGTTGGTTGGGATGTAAAAGTTGGGAGCAAAGAGGAAGGAACGGAAGCTGGAAAATACAGCCCTGGTGATGGAAATGACGTAAGAAATCACATGATTGGATTTTGCAAAAGCATCGCTTTTCATTGCAAAAAACACTCTTCTTTTTTGCACAACATAAATGGTGACTCCATACGTGAAACTCACTAGGTGGAATACGCATACATCACATGAGCTACACCGAGACACTGGAGAGGCTCAATATCGTGAATCAAAATAAGGGAAGGGGTGGACTGTGGAAAAGACCATCCATGCTTTGGACACAGATTGAAGCTGAAGAAAACTAAAGCAAGTCCACAGGAACTGAAATACAACCCAGAGCACGTCCCACCCGATGTGGAGAGCAGCTCACGAACAGCTCGGAGCTATTAAACACTAAAGACCAAAGACCAGATAGGTGTCAGATGGCACCAATAGCACCGTAAAGGAAGAAAGGTCAAAAGTCAAAGGTCGTTCAAAAGAAAAAGATTAGCAAAGTGGTTGTCGCAAGAGACATTTGAAACTTGTTCTTGTGCCTAAACTAGCAAATTGGAATGGATGAAATTATGAGGAAAACAGGTGAAAAGAAAATTTCAAAGATTGCTCAAGAAGGCAAAGTAAAGCAGTATAATGAGATGTGCAAAGACCTGGAATTGGAAAACCAAAGGGAAGAATACTTGTAGCATAACCAGTTCTGAAATAGCTAAAGAAAAATTCATCCCTCTAGTTGAAATATTACAGGATTCTATGGAGCCCTGGTGGAGCTGTTTGGTGGCAAGTGTTGGACTACTAAAACCACAAAGTCAGCAGTTCAAACCCACCAGCTGCTCCAAGGGAGAAAGAGGAGGCTATGTATTCCCTTAAAGATTTACAACCTCAGAAGACTTTTATAGGATTACTATATGAGTTGAAATTTCCTATATGGCAGCAGGTTTGGGTTTGTTTTTGTTTGTTTGTTGGAAGGGAAATTATATTTATAGGCAAAATTTTAGATGCTGCAAGAAGCATCAAAACAAGATGGAAGGAATACATGGAGTCTCTGTACCAAAAAGAATTGATTGGCATTCAACTCTGTAAAGAGATAGTATACAATCAGCAACTGGTGGTATTGAAAAAGACATCCAAACATCATCAGCCAAAAACAAGTCTCCAGGAATTGACAGAATAACAAATTGTTTCACAAACTTGGTGCAGTGCTGCACACACTCAGTAGGCTGTGCAAGAAATTGGGAAGACAGATGTCTGGCCAACTGACAGGAAGAGGTCCATGTTCTCAGCCATTTCAAAGAAAGGTGACTCAATAGAATGTAAAAAGTATAAAACAATATCACTAACACTACATCCAAGTATAATTTTGCTGACAGTAGTTCAAAAATTATTGCAGCAATACATTCATAGAGAGTTGCCAAAAATCCAAGCTGCATTTAGAAGAAAATGTGGAATGAGGGCTAGAATCTCACGGCTGCTGTCAAACAGATCTTGATAAGTCAGAGAATATAAAAATGACGCTTACTTGTGTTCTATTGACGACACAGAGGAATTTGATTGTGTGGATCATAAAATGATACCAATAGCATTGTGAGGAAACGGAATTGTAGAGCATTTGTTTGTACACAATCTGCAGTCATTCCAACAGAACAAAAGGATAGTACGTGGTTTAAAATCAGGGAAGGTGTGTGTCAGGATTGCATCCTGTCACCACCCTTATTCGGTCTGTGTGCTGAGTGAGTGATCTGAGAAGCAGGATTACATGAAGAAGAATGGGCCATCGGAATAGAAGGAAGCCCATGAAGAACCTGTATGTGGTAGCAGCTGACACACCTTCCTGGTGGCAGCCGAGAGGCCTTGAAACACTCACCGAGGAAGATCAACGTCTACAGCTTTCAATGTAAAGAAAACACAAATCCTCACAACAAAACCAATAGACAGCATCGTGCTAAATGGAGTAAAGATCGACTCCATTAAAAAAAGATTGACTCAATTTTATTTGGAACCACAATCGCTCCTCATGGAAGCAGCATAGAAGCGCTCAAACCACATATTGCACGTGGACGATGTGCTGCACAGGACCTATTTAAGTGTTCAATCGTGAGGAGGTCCCTTTTAAGGGCTAACATGCACCTGACGCAGGCCGTGGTCTTTTCAAGCACATCCTCTACCTGTAAAAGTTGGACGGTGCATGAGGAAGACGGCAGAAGATGGATGCATTTCGATCGTGGTGTTGGTGAAGACGATGGAGTATACTGTGGATGCCAGAAGAGCAAGCCAAGCCTGTCTTGGAGAAGGGACAGCCAGAGTGTCTCTGAGAGGATGAGACTTACGACCTGTTGTCAGCAGGGGCCACTCCCTGAGGAAGGACATTATGCTTGGCAAAGCAGAGGGCCACTGAGACCAGAAAGACCTCAACATGTGGATGGACACCATGTCTGCAAAGGTAGGCTCAACCTAGCAATGAGTCTGAGGGTGACTCCGGACCAGAATGCTTCCTGAGGTTGTACTTAGCGCGTCTACGAACAGAACTCACTTGATGGCTTCTCACCACAGCCCTGCTTTAAGAGCGTCGCCTACAGTTTCTCTTTGAATCTTCACGATATCTCTGTGGACTATGAACTGTTTGGAATTAATCTTTCCCATGATAAAACTCAGGCAAACAATGATTGAGGACTTTGTGTGCAAGGTCCCACGGTAAGCGGTGGTTGACCATCCTGGACTGATGGCCACATGTCAGTTAGGAAAGTAAAACTGAATCCAAGAAACCGAACAGGTTCTTTTGAAAAGTAATGTTGATAACATGAAGCGCTTTCCTGACAGCGTGTCTATTTCGGGTCTCTTTTCCCAAAACCACGCACCGCACTTCTCTCACCTCATTCACCAGTGGTTGCCTGTTGGGCGCAGCTGCCCCATCCTTGGAGTTCGGGTCCCAGTGAAAAACTGATTTAAATCGTTCCCCATCCTCTTGCTCATCTGCCTGCATAATGAAGATATCATCAGCACTCTTGCCATCGAGGAGAGAGAGAAAATGAATAACGTAGAGTTCGGCTTTGAAATTTCCCTTAGCCTTAAATGCAAAGCATCTTACGAGCAATACCGTGCAAGCTGTGTGGTTAGTCTCACCAAGATGTCATCTGGACCCCTTACCCACCCCTCGAGCAGTGTGCACACAGCACCTGCTGGGTGCAAAGCTCCACTCAGCAGGGCAGCTATAAAAACACACAGTAACATCTCCATGAACTTATCATACACACAGTATTAGAGTAGCCTCAAAAACTCTCAAGATGGTAGTTGTGATTCTTGACTTTAGCATCAGGAGGTACACCCAGAGAACCAGTTAAAATGTTGCTCCCCAAATTCATAAAGGTGTTTCCTGTGCTTTATTGGTTCATCTTTGAGATTTCTATCTAGAATACATGTCAAAGTGATCTTTGTGTATGGTGTGAGGTACAGATCGAGGTTCATAAGAAAATCCAATGGCACTAGTACAACTTAGTGAATTGCAGGAGTGTCTTTGCCATAATTCAATTTGCTATATGTGGGAGGCTCTATATCAGACCCTTGTGTCCTTCTGTATTGGTCTATTTGTCTGTCCCGTGTCCCTAGGATACTTGTGTTCATTGTTACTGCTTTTGGAGTAAGTCTGCAACCTGGTAGCCTAGGCTCTCCAATTTTGTCCTTCTTCATGATATTTTGGCTATCTTAGAATCTTTGTATTTTCATATCAATTTTAGAACCACATTGTTAATTTCTACAGAGAGGGAGAGAGACAATCTAGTCAGTTATTGTGATTGCACTGAACCTAGAGATCAATTTGATAAGAACAGACATCAACAATATCTTCAGTTTGCAAACAAACAGGAAACAAATTGCCTCTGATTTAATTGCACTATAATTTATTAAAGCTTAAACCCTTGATTTTGCCGACAAGGAAATGCGCTCTGAGAAAAGGAGTAAACTTGTCAAAATCACAGCAGGTTAGCAGATCCAGGGACTCGGATTCCCTACGGACAGGCTTTTCTGCCATTGACTTTCTGGGCTTCCTGCCACTTCATGTATTTCCTGTATGCAAATAAAGAAGGATTTGTTTCTTGTTTGTTGGCAAACTGTACAACCCCTCGCATGTGAGTTACCTATGTGCACTATGTGCATCCGTGTGGAAGTCCTTCCTGGGGGCACCTTCTATGTGAAGATATGGCAGAGATTATATAAATTGAGAGATCTTTACATGCGTTTGGCCTCGGATTTTGAGACGGGACCTGAACAGGGCAGAGAGCTGAGGCCGACTTTCTCGGTGGCCCACCACTGACATTCTGATCGGTTATTTCTCTCTTGTGGGGGGCTGTCCTGTGAACTGAAGGCCGTTCAGTAGCGTCCCTGCCACTAGCAAGCCCATTTCCTGAGTCATGCTAGTCAAACATGTCTCCAGGCATTGGCAAATGTCCTTGCGGGGGGACAACTGTCCTCTGCTCAGAATCACTGCCTTGAAGAACCAGAAACACAGAACCCAAATCAATACTCTTCCCAATTCCAGGAGGCTGCGTGGGTGGTCGGTCCACCTTCCACCGCACAAGCTGCCACTCGGAACCCTGAGAGACTTTCCCCCAGAGTCTGGAAGACCCCGAGGAAGTGGGAAGCCGCAGGGACAGCTGTGAAGGTGCTTTGCAGGGCCAGGAGGTCTTAGGAGGGAAGAAGGTCCATTCTCTGAATAGACGAAAACATAGAGGTGTGATTCTTCTTCTAAAACTTCCATCTACAAACTAGGAAATTCTGTCTTAGTAAAGATGGATCTTTTTAAAAGAGTGACATTTAGGAAACAGAAAATGTACATCAGCATCCAATGCCCAGTCTGAATCTTTCCCTGATTTCTCTCCTTCATCACCATCACTGATGGGTCCCTCCTTCCCTCGGAGCACACGCACAGTGCATAGGTTTCTGCACGGTTGACAGGTCTCCCAGAGACACCACCGGGAAAGAAAGCAGTCGGCCACTGTCCCTAGGGTGGTTACAAGAGCTTGGGCATAGAAGGGACACATTGTCCATTTGGATTTCTCCCTGGTGGGACAAGAGGAGGTCCATATCTCGGCAGGCAACTGTCGGTCTGTGCACACACTGACAGCAAGCCAACCCCAACTCATAGTGACCCTATAGGAGAGGGTAGAACTGCTCTGTGGGTTCCCGAGACTGTAAATCTTTATAGGAGCGGAAAGCCTCATCTTTCTCTGACAGAGCAGCTACTGGGTTAGAACTCCTGACCTTTCAGTTAGCAGCCCAAGCAGTCATGCACTGGGCCACCAGGGCTCCTAAGTCTATGGCAGGATTTTTATATGGGTATTCATAGGAATACACACACATATATGCATACATATACATCATGTGTGCCTATAGACACACACAAACACAGTGCTACATATACACACATGCCTATAGACACAGACACCATGCATGCACATAGATACACAAATACACTGCTGATACACATATATGCATACACATACATATACACACCATGTATACATTCCCGCACATGAACTACATGTACACACATCCAAGTACACATAAGTGCACAAGACACAGATAGGCAAACAAACTCATTCATATACATATGATATACATGTACATTTGGATGTGCACACACACATCTATATACAAATACACCACACAATGCACAAGTGTACACATGTGCATGCACGTTCATGTACACACACACATACAGATATACTTGCTCGGTGCGCACACACATATAGACACACATCCCCACACGTGCACGTATATGCAGAAACCCGCACCGTGGTCCGTGACGGGAAATAGAAGCAGCGGTAACCCCAGCTTCTGTCATACACAGTTAAAGGAGCCCGAAGGGAGGTCAGTGCTGTGTGTGTTGTGTGCCCTGTGTGTGTCCGGCCAGCAGAGGACAAGAGTGTGTGGGAGCATGCAGGCCTTGTGAAATACGGCCTGTGCAAACCGCATTCAAATGCAAGAGCACAGCTCCTCGTGGGGAATGTGCCCACCACTGGGTATTAAAGAGCATCGGCAGCTGCTGTTTTGCTTTTGGTTTTTTTTCGGGAGAGTTCCCCGCCCTCTAAGTATTTGTGGAGGTGGGCAATGGGGCAGTTTAGGGTGTACGCTCTAAAGCCAGGCAGACTTAGATTGGTACCCTCTCCACCAGCTGGGTGAACCAGGGCGAGCTGCTTGACCTCTCTGAGCCTCCGATTCCCCACGGGTCATGTGATCGCCTTTTGGAGGGCATGGTGGCAGATACAGGAGCTAATGCAGAGCTGGAGGAAGACGGGGCTCCCCCTGTCAAGAGTGCCAGTCTTGAACCCCACAGGGGCAGTTCTACTCGGTTCCATGGGTGGTTCTGGATCAGAACTGACTCGATGACAGTGAGTCTGGTTTGTTTAGAACTTTAGGCGGAGGGCGTTGGGGGAGGGGAGGTTACTGGAGAGCTTTCTAACTCCTTCACAGTTTTCTAATTTTGGAAAGTTACAAAAGCTGCCTCCCGCAGACCAGCTTCTCATAGGGCAGAGGTGAGAACGGTCCAATGACACCCTTTAAACGGGCGTAGGAGGCCACTCAGTAGCCCACTGTTTGGCACAACGCTTCCGTTGTTGCTTTCCAAACCAAGTGGGTTGATCCAGGTGGCCTGCATGTCTCCCTCCCCCTCCCAGCCTCCCCACAGGCAAAATATTATTTCCAAATAGGAAAATCTTTGATCTCCCCCTACCCTGAAAGGGATGGTGAACTGCCAATCATCTGAGGGAGCCAGTCCTCCGAGACATTTAAGAGTGGTGGAATTAGCAGTTTGCAGTTGCCTTTACCAAAATGCCACAGTGGAAAGAAAGGAAGGCCCTCATGATGGTTTCTATTGTTATGTCATGTATTAAGCGCCTCATATCTACAGGATCTCATCTATACATTGTCACCTATGTCCAGAGCTGGCCAGGCAAAGAGATTATCTTGGACGCAGGCACTCAAAATATTGAGGCTGCATTATCTTGTGCATTGGCCCCTACATTGTAGGAGGCAACACAGCAATCCAAAAACCACCCCCAAAACCTCACAGCCATCGAATCAATACTGACTCACAGCGACCCTATAGGACAGAGTAGAACTGTCCCTGTGGGTTTCTGAGACTGTAACTGTTCACGAGATCAGAAAGCCCCGTCTGTCTCCAGAGGAGCGGCTGGTGGTTTTGAACTGCCAGCCTTTCAAATCGCACCCCAACATGTAGCCACTGTGTCAGCAATACTTGTTACTTAAGTGCACTTAGCATGTGTAGGTGGGGAAAATGGACAAGCTCATTTGTAGACAGAGACTCTTAAAAGCATTACAAGTATATGAGTGAAGGGACTTTCTTGAATGACTATTTTGAGCAGCAATATTAAAGTCACTTACCCCAGTGATGGGCTCTGCAGTCTTCCTTGTATTTAGATGTAATGGAGTATGATAGATACTTGTGAACGTGTTGTTCTTGGGGTTATGGCTACAAAAAATAATATATATATATATACACATATGTGAATCAAAATAGAAATACACTTTATCCAAAATGACTGTGAGACTACTTTTACAAGTGCTCACTAAACAACTCACTGCTGATTCTGATGCAGAGCGACCCTCTAGGACAGGGTGGAACTGCCCCTGTGGGTTTCTGAAACTGTGACTCTTCATGGGAGTAGAAAGCCTCCTCTTTCTCCCTCGGAGTGGCTGGGGGTTTCAAACTGCTGACTTTGAGGTTAGCAGCCCAACTCATGACCCGGCACCACTGGGGCTCCTTTATTAAAAGCACAGCTAGTCTTTAGCCAATCAATATCAAAATTCACAAATGAATCAATGATTTTCCAGGCAGTGAGTTTCAAAGGGAAGAAGTAGCAACCTGAAGCATTTCGGCATTTACAAACTAGAGACAAATTGAACTGAAAACAGCCCCTTAAAAGCTTTTTGAACTAGAAACAGAGAAGGATTTTGACCTTACTTAAAATAAAGATATCTACAACTCACTACGCCCCTCTGAAGCAGGTCTGTGTCCTGCACAAGAGTTATCACTTGAGGTACAAAATGACAGCGTTGGAGAGATTGGATCTGTCACTTGAGAGCCATTTGAATTTCCCCATCCTTTATGTCGGTGGCATAAAATGCCGCTTCCGTCTCTTTCAGAGTTGTATGTGAGTGAAAATTTGGTGGGCGGGTGGGGGGAGCATTTCCTGGGTTGACTGCTGCGGTTTCTAATCTGAACTGGGTTGCCCGTTTGAAGGGAAACCAACACAACTCCCGAGGCTCCAGGGCAGGGACCCAGGACTTACGCGTGACAGTAGGGCTTTTTCTGGTGACTCACAAAGTTGTTCACAGACAGTATCATCTTGCAGACTTCGCAGTGGAAACACGCTTTGTGCCATATCTAGAAATCGCACAGTAAAAAGCCAGCAGTTACCTTTGCGTTCAGCCTCAGGACGCTAACCTACTTCAGGGTCAGACATTGTTCTTGGGTGACAACGTGGCAATTTAAAGACTGGCTACGTTAAAAATTGTTAGGGAGAGACCATCTTTTATTTGTTCTCTCTCTTTCTTCCAAGATGGCACAGGAGAAGAGAGAGGAATGGGTAGGACTGAAGAAAAGCAGGAAAAGACACCCTTGTTTCAGGGCTCAGAACCAGCTAGCGAGAAGATGCACTTTCCCTGATTGCCATTCTCCAAACTCTTAAAACCAAACTCACTGCCATTGAGTCGATGCCCACGCTGAGAGCCCCTACAGAACAGGCTGAGACTCGGTTTATGGGAGTAGAAAGCCCCATCTTTCTCCCATGGAGCTGCTGCCGGTTTTGAACTGACAACCTTTCAGATTGCAGCCCAATGCATAACCACTATGCTACCGGGGCACCTGTGTTACTCTCAGAGGTGAGGGAATAATCCACTGACCTGATCTATGCAGCTGATCTTCTCCGCAGGGTAGACCCCATAGCCGCACCGCGAACAAGACTGCACGTTCATCTTGCGGTCAAAGGAGTGAAGATACAGGTGGACAACGGGTAAGATATCCCAGGAGAAGCCCCTAGGCAAGTTGATGAGCCGCCAAACTGCAAGTCGCAACAATCCCTGGGTCCACCTTGAACGCTCCGAATCCACTTCGTGCTTTCTTGCGCTGACCTTCTGGTGTGAAGCCGGCAGCTGGCTGGTTTTTAAGGCAGCCACTTACTCAAGGGGCTATTTTGGCAGTTGGCTCAGCACGCACCCGGGAAGGTGGAAGTATTTTGAGCTGACACACTCCTCTAAATAGAAACGTGAACTCATAGCAGCATCGTGTTTATGTAGTTGACCGAGGCCTGGGGATGACCAAGCAGCGTGTCGTAGTTTGACTCTGGCTGTGATCATAACCCGAGAAAAGAACCAGAGGGAGAAGTCAGACCCTCACCCAACCATCCAATGAGTCATCTGATTAAGAAATGAGGGCCGCTCCCCCAAATGTAGGAAGTATAATGGGATCCCTTCGCTCCGTCACACAGTTAAAGAAAACACGGCCATCAAGTGAGTGCTGACTCACAACGAGAGTCGATCTGCATCGGGTTTCTGAAATTGTCATGCAAGCAGACGCCCACTTCTTTCTCTCCAGGAACAGCTGGTGGATTCCAACTGCCAACCTCTAAGTTAGTGGTGGAGCCCTTAAAACACTCATCTCCAGGGCTCCTCAAATGGTATGCACCATATTTGAATTTCAGCTTTATCTGAATAATGTTTACACTCACAAAACTCAGTCGATTCCAACTCAATGTCCCCATAGGACACGTAAGAACTGTCCCTATGGGTTTCCATAGTGATCAGTCTTTATGGGAGCAGAGAGCCTCCACTTTCTCCTGCAGGGGAGCTGGTGGGTTCGAACAGCTGACCTTGTGGTTAGCAGCCCAACCTGTAAACCCACTACACCAGCAAGGGCTCCTGAATGTTTACAAAGAGCTTGAAAATGGTATCAAGCTATCCAGTTGTGGTGTCTTTGGCTGGAATGAGAAAATCCGAACCAATGAGAACTTTCTGACTTGGTCTCTGTATTGTGTCCTTGGCCATTCCAAGAAGGTCCTGTTCCCTCAAAGGCCGGGACCAGAGGTCCCAGGAAGATAAAATCTCTCTTCTCGGTTCCAGTCTCTCCTGAAATGCCACCTTGTGGCTGGAGTGGCTGCAGAGCCAGCCACGGCGCCCCCAGATGTTACAGAGCACAACGGACCCACAGGGTTTTCGGCTGTCATCTCAGAAACAGGTCACCAGGCCAATGCTTCCACTGCACCACGGGGTAAGTCCAAAGTAATAATCTTTAGGTTAGAATCCAGAGCAAACAGTTTGTGTCTCCTATCAGGGGGCATCTCCCTGCCCCCCCACCCCTATCCCTCATTCATCACCCTGCCTTTAATGTCCTTTGGAGTAGTCATCACTCCCGGGTCTGCTAAATTAAAAAATAATAGTAATAAACCAGCTCACTGCCATCCAGTCAATGCTGACTCATAGTACCCCCTCGGGCCTTCTGAGACTGTTGATGGGAGTAGAAAGCCCAGTCTTTCTCCCAAGGAGCTGCTGGTGGTTTCAAACGGCCAACCAGGAGGATTGCAGCCCAACACGTAACCACGTGTGGCAGGCTATCTGCTTTGGACCTTTGAGTTCAACTCCGGGAGCACATCACGCTGCTGTCTCCAGGGGGGGCGGAGCGAGAACAGCAGCACTTGTGAGGGGCGGGTTGGGAGGGGTGTGTGGTATTGGGGTGCTGTGGTATGTGGTGTGCTGGGGTGTGAGTGAGGGGTGAGAAAGATGAAGTCATACAGTAAGTGACAGAAGTTGGTTTCCTCAAGACTGCAGTGGGGTACCAATGGGAGGAAGAAGCCCCAGGCTGAGGTTCTAGGCTCAGCAAGGACTCCGACATTGAAATGCCAGTCGGGCAGCGAGGTGGCCACCAACCTGAGCAAATGAAAGCAGTCACCTGTACAGACCAAAGACCAGAAACACCGCCCCCCCCCCGCCCGCCCCAAAACAAAAGCCCAAGGAGCAAACCAATACCCTTGAGTCAATTCTGTCCCCACAGACCAGAGTAATGCTGCCCTGGATTCCGAAGGCTGTAAATCATGATAGAAACAGACAGCCTCATCTTTCGCCTACAGAGTAGCTGGTAGCTTCAAACTGCTGACCTTGTGGTTAGCAGCCCAACATTGTATTACCAGGGGTCCTAAAGACCAGAAGAGCTCCCCCAAATGTTTTGCTCCAAATCAATCAGCCTTACCTGGGGAGTGGGGTGGGACTTCCAGTAATCGCTGAGAATAAAGTCCCCCATCCCTAACCCTGAGGGATGCGGCATCAGGGTCCGACAAGATGGAAAGACACAAAGGTGGGTTTATCTTCTCCGTCTGAGATTGTGAGCTCGACCCCTGCCGCTAATGGCTTCTTGGCCACAACTTGTAAAAGGATTACTGGAATGGTGTTAATAGTTACCTGTAGCCTCACTTCTGCTTATTGGGTATCACTTATTGTGAGGATAACTAGAAATGGGGTCGTTTATGGAACTAGAAATGAACTCATTGCTGCACTGCGGGGGGGGGGGGGGGGGGGGGGGGGTAAGAAAAACACAGCCCTCACCTGCTTACCTGACATAATGGTCAGTATCACCATGACCTTCCACCCTAGACAGTCACAGACCAAATAAACAGTGTGCCCCTCATTGGGTTAAGCCCCACTCACCCCCGTCTCAGTGATTAGATGGAGCCTAAACTGATCTGCACACTACATTCCCGTCTTGGCTTTCAGGGGTAGTTCAGAAAGCATCTATCTTAGCCCCAGAAACCAGTATCAGAGGCAAGAATCTTATTGGCCAAGACTATACTCAGAAGTATGGCTTCAGGGGGGAGGAGGAACAGAAGAGAAGAGTTGGGCTGAAGGTTCATTTTCAACGTACCCACCACCCCATATAAAGTACATGGAGTCATGTGACCTCTATCAGCCAAGAGACCAAGAAACAATGGCTACTCAGAAATATCTCCTAGAAGAATTGATTTGTTGGCTTCTGTGTCCCCTGGGAATCGATGTGTCTTGTTGGGTGTTAACTACTCCCACCGCCACACTGCCACTTCTACACTATGGAGGGGCGGTGGCCCAGGTTCTACCACAGACGAGGCCTGAGCATCAACAGGGAAATGAAAGGACAGCAGAAGGCCCTGCTGGATTGGGCCCATGAGATTGCCCAGGGCCCATACAGAGCTCGTTGTCACTACAGAGGTTGGGCTGGAACGGGGAGGCAAGCGCTTTGAGATAGGTGTGACTGAGTGGCTCTAACTTGGCACCGAGAGGTGTCGTATATGCAGTCCAGTCAGCAGAGGCCGGCATTTGGATTTCACGGTGGTGAACCAGAGCCAGATCACCCAGAGTTTTAGCCGCCCTTCCCCTGCATGCTTCTGCCAATCCCAGCCCCCACTGCCCTGGCTTCTTCCAAGTCTCGACTCCTAAGACACTTGTCAGCAATGACATAGCCAGGGCCTTCTGCTTCATACAAATAAGTACAGCATGCAGACACTGCCCTTCCTCGTAGATCTTAAATGTAGCACTCGTCATTTCTCTCTCTTGAACTTATTTGTGGATGGTGGTCCCAGTCGGCGGAGATATTTTTGTGCCCCGGTTCTGGCATCCAGGGTATGAGCTAATGCTTTCTTAGCTCTGATTCGCTTCCAGTATCTGCCCGGGCAGTGGATGTGAAGTGCTTTTGAAATAACAGAGGGATGGCAAGTTGGGAATAAGGGAAAAGTGACTGGCATTTCACTCTGTCTCTGTGGCCTGGTTTGGTTTGGGGACGTTGCTTCCCCCTTAGGGGTCTATGGCTGCTTGGTTTGGGTTTTCTCAAAGAACTTGCATGTAGATAGCTTTCTTAGGAGCTATTCCCACAGAGAATAAATGAGGATTTGAGGTGAGCGAAGTGGGGTAAGAAGAAAACTTAATAAAAAGTATATCCTGAGTGAAATTAATGCCAGGGACAACTAAAGCTCAGTCTTGCTGGGGACTTGAATGAATCCTATAGAATGTACTTCAGAATTGTCCCACTGAAGAACCGGAGGCTGGGGCAGCACTTCGAACACTCATTGGTCAGGAAGGATTACCCTAAGAAGCATCAACTACCCAGGATGCACCTGCCTGACAGAATACAAAAACATCTTCTGCAGTTTCAGAGAAGGCTCAGAGTTGGGGAAGCGCTGCTGTGGGAGCCTGAGGAGGAACTGAAAATACGCCCAGAGAAAAAATCCAGTGAGCCAAGGTAATGTAGCATGGGATATCCCAAGAGTGGGTCACTCCTGGTAACAGGCTGAAGGGCAGGGTTAAGGAATATGTTGGCATGAGATGAGCCATGAACTCCCACTGACCACTTGAGGTAGTTACAGAATTTCATATCAACTTAAAGATATATAATAGTGTAGGGGTGGTATTCAACCTGGCAATCAGGTCACAGCCTGATGGTGACTCCTTGTGGGCATGACCGTCTCATAAGGAGGGTCCTGGCAACTCCCCCCACCTCTCTCTGCCTTCACCTTCTTCCTGGCTGACCCTAGTTGCCCAGCGCCCTGGAGATGCATCCACCACCATTGGATCCACAAGACTTTGCACCCACAGGCCTGTGATCTTCCTGCATTCTGAATCATGCATGTGGCTACGTGAGTCTGACGAGGGACTTATGGACTAGTGTCGGACTTACCGGCTTCAGTTGGACTGGGCTGGGATGTTTTACTGATATGTAACTACTTCTTGATATAAAGTTCTTTCTTGCACCTCTGAGTGTCACTGGATTTGTTTCTCTAGTCAACCCGGCCTAACACACCACTCTTCCAGGTTGACATAGCAATTCCACCCAATCCTCACAGGCTCCTTCCACGGCTGCTTCCCTGTCCAACGCTGCTTCCATAAGATGGAATGAAGATTTCATGAAGCAACACCTTGTCTCTCTAGGTCTCATTTCCTCAGCTCAGAACACCCCACCCCTCCCTCACCCTTGCCCCTTGGACCTTACAGGTGTCACATGGGGTTAGATCCCTGGCACACACTGATGGGAAGGGAGTGACTTCAAAGGGAAGTTCTTTCTTGCAGTAGTTAATGAGCTCCGTGTACTACTTTCTAGTGATGGCAATTCAGAAAATATCTACTCACCCATTGGTCTGGGAAGCTCTGGACTATCGGCCATGCTTCAGCCCAGGATGTTAAGTGGCCTGTCTAGTCATGTAAACTGGACCCAGGAGGACTATAGCCCAGGAAAGTTATAGAAGTATTTTGCCACCCCTCACACCTTAAGTGTGGCTCAAGATCCCCTGGGTTGAGAGTACTGTTTGTGTTGGAGATGTGGTTGTGATGGTGGTGCTGTCTGTCTAAGAACGAGGCTGGAAGCCTTTTGCTATGAAGGATCAGAACTGTAACTAGTCTAGGCCTTGTGGACCACGTGTGGTCTCGATGGCATGCCCTTCTTTTTTATAGCCTGTTAGAAAAGGAAACGCCAACTTTAAAAGTCAGATGAAAGCAGGGCATAGTGTCCCACACGCCATACTTTTCTAAGCCCTGACTGCCAGGGGGTCAGGAGCCAGTGGAATAACCAGATTGGATTTCTTGGGGTGGGAAAGGAGGAAGTCAGAATGAATACAAAGCCATTCCTCGGAGCCCAGAAATTACCGTCCTAACTGCTGAAGGCCACAGCTTCCGATGAGAAGTAGTCCTTGGAGCAGGGGTATAAAGACATATTCAAGCAGGAAAGAGAAATTGCATGGAAAAGTTAATATTAAAAAAAAACCTATTATGATAACCAGGCATTGGATTATCAAGGGATGGGCTAGAAAGTAAAGAGAATTTAAAAATATATAATGTATACGTAATTCAATGTGCTGTCCATCGAGCTAAGAGGACAAACTAAGATTCTTCCCTCCCCCATCCAATCCCTTTCTGAGATACAAACCCTGGTGGAGAAGGCACATAGGGGCAGTGCCAGTCAGATGCTCTGGGCATAGGCCCTCTAGAACTCTCTGGAAATCTACCCTAGATGGTGCCAGAGAACTGTTCGTGGGATTAGGCTAAGCCAGGAAAGAGGAAATGCCCCAGAAAGATGCTATCTTTCTGTACACTGCCTGTGACCAACTGTCCTCAAATTAGTCACAGCAGCCTCCTGACCAGAGGATTGGGTTGGAGAGGTCTAGCAGGATTGGCCCAGGAGACCCCTGAGGCCAGCCCTTCCGAGTCCATCCAAATAGTGGGGACCTGTGGGTGGATTTTTCTGGAAGGACAGGGAAGGCTGAGATTGTAAACTTGTGAATATCAAAGGCGCCTTGAGAGATTTCTTCTCGAGATTTCCACCTCCTCCGTGTGACTGCGTTAAATAGTTGCTTGGGGTCTTGGGAGAAAGGTCAGGGAAGTCTGTTGGGCGTGCAGTGGAGAAAGCCCATTGTGGAATGGGGGAGGAAGAGCCAGGAAGGGTGCCCGGCTTGGCTTTCTTCTCGGCCCGCCCATATCCCGCCCCTATCGCGGGAGGGCGCTGATGGCGATTTCCCCGAAAGATCCCGGCGCGCCTTGGCTGGCGGCCAAGCTGGCGGTGCGGCCGCGCCGGACTTCAGCGCATGCTAAGTTAGCATCCTCGCGCCCGTGCGCCCAGGAGGGCAACCCCGCGAGCGGAAGCAACGACGCGGATTCGGGGGAGCCCGCCGCAGATCCCACGGGCGGCCCGCGGGGCGGAGGTAAGGGGCGCAGATTCGGGGCCGCCCGACGGCGGGGAGCGGACAGCCTGCGGGCAAGGGCGTGGCCGGGGAGGGAAAAGCACCTTCCGGCTCTGAGACCCCGGCCCCCGAGACCCAGATCCAGGGGCTCCGCCGGGG